CCAAACAGCACCTACTCACTTTGTCTACAAATACACCCATTTTCACTGATCATCTGATTGCCACATTTCCATACTGTTGTATCCTTGAGGCTCAACTCCAAAATAATTGAGTTATTGACGTTTTCTGTACATTGAGCAAAAGCAGCCTCAAAGCAACAGCACGAATATACTCACAGTTCAAAAGGTTTGTAAATAAACCTATTTATTTACAAAATTTAAACCTATTTATTTACACTATCAACAAGTTCAACAAACTACTGGCATCCAAAATACATGCACTTTCATCCATAAATGCATGTACTCTCAACATGAGTGGCTGCTTTTTGTCTTTTGCAGCCCCACTCCGTTGTATGAATGATTTTATAGGGGTCGCCCCCATCCTTCTCAGCTCTTAACTGCAAGACCCCAAACTTTACAAGTCCTCCTCAAGACAAGCTTGCCCAGAGCAAGCTGTCCTTGCCAGTTTTAGCATCCTGAGCTGTGCTGTCCCCTGTCACACACAGTGCTTCTGCCAGCACAGCAGCCTGGCTTGCAGAGAGCCCATCAAAGTTACCTGAGCAGCTCTGAGAGAGCCAAGTCTGTTGTGAAGCCACATTTAAAATGTGAGTGCAGAAGCTCTAAAGTCAGATTTATGGGACTGCATTTTGATGATAAAATGAATGCTATTTGTTTCTACCTAAGATTTCCATCCCCTCTGCTCCAAGTCTACAGGAGGAGCTGTAAGGACAAGGGCTGCAGTGCCAATCATGCACTTGTGGGAGATGCAGCCCTGGGCTCGGTCCCTGACCCGGGCTAACACACCTGTCCTGTTACACCTCCAGTGCCTGACTCGAGGAGCTTTTACCCTTTTTTGGTGTAACTACCCAATGCCACCTAGTGCAGTGTTAGCCCGTGGAAACGAGTACTAGCTTGAAAAACATGCCTCACAGAACTATGACAAAGCATGTAAAGGAAATCACTTAAGCATAAAGCTAGAAAGAAACAAAAACCAAACTGCAAGGAGTCTTCACTGCACTTTGAAAGAACATAAAAAAACCCCAATTAGTCAAACATAAGACACTGTAAATTACAAACACAACCATGAATAGGCAATAAATAAGTGATAAACTGTGATTTTACTTTTTTTTTTTTTAATTAAGCAATCACTTGTTGAGGTTGGTTAGTCGTTGTCTCAGACCGGGAATCGGTATCCTAGAGATAAATTAATCCAGAATGAATCAGGATGAAGTCTTCCCTGAAATTCCAGACATCAGTGAATAATTACAGGGGAAAGCCCAAAAAAGTATAGAACAATAAGCCTCAACAAAAAAACATCTAAGTACACTTAAGGAAGACATGCACGCTTTCTAAGAAGGAGCTGCACTGGCCGCAGGGGCAGCACACGCATTTTCAGCGGGGTTTGGGTGCCGCGTTACCCCCGCCCGCCCGCCGCCTTCACCGCGGGCCGGGACACCGCGCCGGGGCCCTGCCCTCCGCCGGGGCAGAGCCGCGATCGGCCTCCGCCGGGGCAGGGCCGCGATGGGCTCCGCCGGGGCAGAGCTGCGATCGGCTCCGCCGGGCTCCCCGGGGCAGAGCCGTGCCCGACGTTCCCCGCCGCGCTCCCTCCCGCCGCGCTCGGCGCCCGGCCCGCCCGCCACTTACGTCCTTCTTCACCTCCGCCATCTCGTCCTCCGTCAGCGGCCGCCCCGCGCCCGCCGAGCTCGGCCACGACCCCGGGCCCTCCATGGCGGAACCCTCGGCGGCGCCTGGGGAAACCCGCGCGGGGCGGCGCTTCCGCCCGGGCCCCGCCCCCGCCCCTCCGCCAATGGGCGCTCAGGGTCTGAGCTACGCCCCGCCCCCAGCCGGGACAAGCCGCGGCCACGCCCCAGCTCGGCCCCGCCCCGGCCCCAC